GGTGGATATTGAGATTAATGCTTGATCCTCTCTTTTTCATAATCTTGAGACTAACTTAATATTGTACTTGTATCCTGAAAAATGTATAAAATTCAACCAATCAGAGTCGCGTATATAAAGCCGATTAATTTGAAATTTTTCACGCCATTTAAGATTATATACAGAATCGGGAGGGACTCTCTAATTTAAGAAAACCCGGTTTTTGATTTTTCTGTGCCATAAGAAAGAAAGAACGGTTTAAGAAGAAAATCAAAAGTGTTTCCATTGGATACTCAGATTAAGTAATCGGGATTAAGGATTTCTCATTCTTATAAAGTTTTGAGCTCTGAAACAAAAAATTAGTAAACAATCGCTTTTTTCCGTCTATACCTAGCACTTCCTAATCCTAGGTCTACCTTTTAATCTGTGAACTTACAGAGAAATATAATGAAATATCATCCTGCAGGTTCAGGCTCAAATCTATACATTTGTATTCTACATCCAGAATTAGTAAACAATAGCTTTTTTCCGTCTATACCTAGCATTTCCTAATCCTAGCTCTACATTTAAATCTGTGAACTTACAGAGAAATATAATGAAATATCATCCTGCAGGTTCAGGCTCAAATCTATACATTTGTATTCTACATCCAGAATCTAAACATCATAAACTGACAAGGAAGGTTCCCTTCAACAGTTAAATATACATATTTGTCCAGGATTCTAGATTATATACCAGGAATACATATTTGTCCTGGATTCTAGATTATATACCAGGAATACATATTTGTCCTAGATTCTAGATTATTCACCGGGAATACATATTTGTCCAGGATTCTAGATTATATACCAGGAATACATATTTGTCCAGGATTCAAGATTATATACCAGGAATACATATTTGTCCTGGATTCTAGATTATATACCAGGAATACATGTTTGTCCAGGATTCTAGATTATATACCAGGAATACATATTTGTCCAGTATTCTAGATTATATACCAGGAATACATATTTTTCCAGGATTCTAGATTATATACCAGGAATACATATTTGTCTAGGATTCTAGATTATATACCAGGAATACATATTTGTCCAAGATTCTAGATTAAATACCAAGAATACATATTTGTCCAGGATTCTAGATTATATACCAGGAATACATATTTGTCCCGGATTCTAAATTATATACCAGGAATATATATTTGTCCAGGATTCTAGATGATATACCAGGAATACATATTTGTCCAGGATTCTAAATTATATACCAGGAATACATGTTTGTTCAGGATTCTAAATTATATACCAGGAATACATATCCCGGATTCTAAATTATATACCAGGAATATATATTTGTCCAGGATTCTAGATGATATACCAGGAATACATATTTGTCCAGGATTCTAAATTATATACCAGGAATACATGTTTGTTCAGGATTCTAAATTATATACCAGGAATACATATTTGTCCAGGATTCTAGGTTTTATACCAGGAATACATATTTGTCCAGGATTCGAAATTATATACCAGGAATACATATTTGTTCAGGATTCTAGATTATGTACCAGGAATACATATTTGTCCAGGATTCTAAATTGTATACCAGGAATACATATTTGTCCAGGATTCTAGATTATATACCAGGAATACATATTTGTCCAGGATTCCAGATGATATACCAGGAAAACATATTTGTCCAGGATTCTAGGTTATATACCAGGAATACATATTTGTCCAGGATTCTAGATTATATACATATTTGTCTGGGATATATGGATATTTAGAAATCAATTGTTATTTTAAATAAACCTTTTTACAACTCAAAAATTTATTATAAAATGCAATGTTCTTCAAAATTTAGTTCAATCTTTAAATTGCACATATTCGATTTCAGACAATGTGCAAATTCTGCTAAGTTCAAATCTAAAATCCTGGTTAGCTGATATCAGTTACTTTTTACAGAGTATTTTATGAGAAACAAATTTAAGAACTTCTAAACTCTCATTGTATTCTCATCCTTTGTGGTGAACCCTGTATGGTTGTTGAGATGTGGGGATTAGGAAAATTAATAAGTTTTTCACCTTTTTGTTTTTTTTCCTTTTTGGCTTCTAATTAAATGAAAAGTTAACAAAATACAAAATATTGAAAGAATCAAATTTATAAAATGTTAATCATTTTTCGTTTAAAGTTCAAGGAATAAATGTTTAGTGCGAGGATGTAAACAGGTAAAATGCATTGATAATAAATAAATTTATTTTGAAACTAATATTTTCTCTTGTTTTATATAAATACTGTATAAATATGATCGGATATTATTTTTAGATTTTATTATTGAAGTTGCTTTTCAGGGGAAATTTTTTAGAGTTATTTTATTTTTATTGAGACGCACTGTATATATATAAAGGTTGTACAACAATGAATATATAAATATTATATATTGTATTTTGCAATTGCACTATTCCTTAAAATATTTATGTGTACAATATGCTGGTATAAAGAAAATTAAGAACTCATAAAATGGCGATACTATTGGTCCTGGAATAAAAGTTTGTTTTTATTCTTTACAGGGAAATAAAATCAAGGAAAAAGGAAGAAGTTAGACTTAAATACAAAAAGTTTCAAACAGTTATTTCCGACATTTTGTCTAGAATGGTTTGTCTTTTACTATTCAATCGTAGATCTATAATGAAGAGATAGCGCAGGGTCCCAATAAACATGGACATCGAAAGACGATTTGGACTATTGACAAAGAGTAATGTTTTCTCAGTACTATTTGTGCATATTTGCAAGGTTTAAGAAAAACACTCTCTGCATAAAAATATCTTTAAGGTTTTGGCAAAATATCGACAACTAATATTTGTCAGTGTTTCTTGTTACCATAGGACGAATAAGAAACTATCAATAAGAAGAAAAATGTTTCCAGAAGGAAGAAACATCAAACATAAATGTCTATATCTACATAAATAGAAGAACAGATATAGGAGTATAGATACAAATATCTACAACTCTACACTGTGAATTAATACATGAATCTTTACACGGGAAACCCTAATCTAATGTTCAAGCTAGAAATATCCTAGAACTAGCTTTGACCTTGTTATGTCCAAAATACTACAAAAATTAATTGAAGGCCTGGAAAGAACAACTAAGGACAAGCGCCTGAAAAATGTTAAAATCGTCAAATCTACCTCATTCCTTGTTTCAAGTTTGTAGTACACTCTCGGCCTCAATACCAGAGGCGCAACTAGGGGGGGGGCGGCCGGGCGCGCGCCCTCCCCTAGCACCTGAGAAGGGGGGGGCGCGCCCCCCCCTGCAGAATGAAAAGAAAGAAAGAATGGCGAAAATCAGTATCACAGGAATAAGAAAACCAATAGAGTTATTGTAGAAATTTTATTATACTATAGTTAGTTTTAAAAAGAATATCTTTATCAAATCATGTTTTGGTCTATAACTTAACTACAAGGACTAACCAGGGCGAGATGGGTTAGGTTTGTTTAATATTCAATCATGTTTTGGTCTATAACTTAACAATCTTTAAACTTACGGAGTTGTCTGCTTACTCCTTTCATCTTAAACCTATCCGCCGACAAAAAAGTGTAAAAGAAGAAAATCGAAAAATGTATGTTCAACTTGTTTGCATTTAAAAAATCACATTCAGTTATATAGTATTTATTTTCAAACACAAAATACAAAATAATAATGTATGATGGTTCAGCTTAAAATAAAACACAAAAGAAACTTTATTATGAGCCAATTCAAAATATAATGTTTGATAATTTTGTTTGGTCGTTATGTTGAAACAAAGTATACATATTGAAATCTCAACTGAATATACATTCATTGTGCATTTACAAGTAGATAATTAGTCAGCGCTTAAATAATCAAAACATTTTCAGGAATGCCTTCATTGAACTTATAAATACATATTGATTCAGCAAAAGTATAAATGTATTCTCGTTGACTGTAGTAGACTTGACATCTACCATTAGCAAAGGGTGTGAACCCACACTCGTTGACTTTAGTAGACTTTGACATCTACCATTGACAGTATAAAGGTTATATAAGGGTTGCGGCCCTAGTCCTGAATATATTCTGCAAGAATTTTGCATGCTTTCTCTCAGAGAAAGGAGGTGTTGACACCTCAACTGCTTTCTACTAACATAATTGAAAGTAGAAAAAGAATTAAAACCTGTAGATCATGGCATTTTTTTCTTACTCTGTCATTAATTTTACGCAATAAATATTGAAAAGAATCCTTTATTTATATTTAAAACATATAGTTTGAATAGCAATGGATTATTCATATTCATATTTTTATTCAACTACAAAGCACGAGATAATACAAATAAAAAATCACAATTTACTATGTAGTTTGGACCCGCCTAACCAGAGTAGGTTGTTTTAATTGGTTGGCCCACTATAAACGAATGAGAATTGCAGATAAAAACAATGTACATTGTACATTTTAAACATAAGAATGATAATAAATCAGGTAAAAGGTAAGGAGGAGGTGAGGGAGTATAAAGAAAAGGGAGGATACTCAGCGTAAGGGTTGGAACAGAGGGTAACATAAGTTATTAGAATCATGTTTATGAACTACAGGGTGAAGAAGATAGTAAAGACTAAGTTTATCCACATGATACACAGTTTTTTTTTTTACAGATATAATTTGCATAACTATCTAAATAGATCTTGGCGACTTTTNACCAGGTCTTTTTGATGTCTTTTGAGTATTCTGTAAATTTTGAAGAAAAATAACTAGTCTTGGCCTTTTTTATTGTTGTGCGATAAACAGAATTATATTTTCTAAAAGTTTCTAAATTGTTTGTAGTTGGATTCAGGATTTTTTTCTTAAATAATTTTTCTTTTTGTTTTCTTGACACTAGCAAGGCGGAAGTGAACCAAGGGTTAACAGAATTTTTATTTTTGTTTGGTTTATATTTGATAAATGGAAAGCTTTCTTCATAAATATTATTTAAAGTGTTAGAAAATTCAGAAAAGGCTGTAGAAGGATCTTCATTTATCATAACATGAGTCCAGTCATTGAGTAACAATTTTTCCTTAAACTTGGTTTTATTTTCGATTGAAGTGTTTCTAATTAGAACTGGTTTGCTACCAATATTATCTTCATGTTGTGTACATTTAGACAAAGAAAAAACGGGTAAATGGTCAGATAAACTTGAGTAGATGATTCCACATTCTTTTGACTCAGGATCTGAATTACTAAATATGTGATCTAGTAATGTTGCAGATGTTTGAGTAATACGTGTAGGGAGTGTAATTAGCGGAAGAAGTGAATGTGTTAACAGGGTGTTTAAAAAGTTAGATGTAGCATTGTGAGAAGTGTGATTCAGCAGATTAATATTTAGGTCACCCATGATTTGAATTTCTTCAGCTTTACTCAGTGATTTGTCGGATGAAATATTTTTTAGAATAGATTCCATAATTTCAGTAAACTTAATGATATCAGAGTTTGGAGGTCTATATACATTACCAATAATTCTAAATTTCTTTGAAGAAACTTTGACTTTTAAAAAGATAGATTCAAAAACTCTTTCCTCAAAGACAGATATATTTTCTAGGACCTCAAAATCATGTTCATTTTTTACCCAACATGCTACCCCTCCCCCTAAGAGGATTAAGAGGATAGAAGATGGTTAGAATGGAAACGGATTAAGAGGATAGAAGCTGGTTAGAATGGAAACGGATTAACAGGATAGAAGATAGTTAGAATGGAAACAGATTAAGAGGATAGAAGATGCAGGCTAGAATGGAAACGGATTAATAGGATAGAAGAGGGTTAGAATGGAAACGGATTAAGAGGATAGAAGATGGTTAGAATGGAAACGGATTAAGAGGATAGAAGAAGGTTAGAATGGAAACGGATAAAGTGGATAGAAGATGGCTAGAATGAAAAAGGATTAAGAGGATAGAAAATGGTTAGAATGAAAACGGATTAAGAGGATAGAAGATGGCTAGAATGGAAACGGATTAAGAGGATAGAAGATGGTTAGAATGGAAACGGATTAAGAGGATATGATGAATCGAAGAGGATTCCACACTGTCCACACACAGTCTGCTCATCTGTCCCAGGACCATTCTAAACTAATTTATTAAAGCGAGTGTTCACGAATCTATTACCTAGTCATTCATATTATGTTATATTCAATACTGAGATACTTTCTTTAACTGGCATATTTTGAAAATAATGCTGAACTAGAATAAAATGACACCTTGCAATGCTTCTATATAAATACTTGACATTTTTGTTAAAAATAGAAATTTAGTTTGGTTAGGCAAATACTACAGGAAGTCCCAAAAAACATGGGAATTCAGTGACGAATTCGATGTCGTCTTTGTCATGAATTAGCATTGTAATACCTAATTTCAAAAGCCGTAATATTTTTATGTCTGCTAGAGTTTATTTTGTGAAAACGGTAAATGGCTGTAAAGATGTGTCTATAATGTCTCCGCAAGATGAACAGTGAAGACGGACAAGTTTACTCTGTTTGTATACTGCAATTTTCTTGTTTTACTAAGTACAACCGTATGCAGTCAAAACATAAACAAACACAATGTGAACATAGCAGACGAAACTCTTACAGATTACAGCTTTCTCAGTAGGTATCACAATACTAAATCAAAGAATTATTGTAAAGAAGATATCGAATTCGTCACTGAATTCCCATGTTTTTTGGGACACCCTGTATATTTAGAATCTTTCCTGCTCTCGGATAGTTTTTGACTTAAGCTCTTAACCAGGGAATAAGATTAAAGGGAAGGGGAATTGCGCTAGTCTTCCATGAGAAAACCGGTCGCACTGCTTTGCAGACAAGTTCGGTAAACCTTACACACACTCTTTTGGTACAGACACACAGCATGACTACAGTCAAGGAAATTGCAGATCAACGTCGTCTCCGCTGTTCTACTGTATTATTTTGTTCAATCCCAAACATCACACAACGAATGTTTGAAATTTGCTTATTTTTCTATTTTCTTTTCTGCGTTAAATTCGTTATACCCTTCAAATATTCTCTTTGTATCGTCTTTATCCTTCTCAATAAATTCTCAATAATCACCAAAAATCTCATTGAATTCTTAATCACTTATGTGATTTTCTAATTTTCCCTTATCATTTATAGGTCCTGCTGGGGTGGGGGGGCAATTTGACACCCCGCCCCCAGTAGTTTTTCTTACATAACTTAAAAAATATTGGTCTGAGACTGTTAAAATGTTATAAAATATAAATATAAAATACATATATATTACACTTATTATTTATTAGACAATTAAAAATACACAAATGTACAGTGTACACTCCTTGACTGTATATAGAACAATTGCCGAGATTCTTATATACTGTATAATATACCTACAGTACGAACAGTACACGCCTTCGGTTCGTTATTATTTAGTGAAAGTTCTGACACATTCTTTAAGATACTTTCTCAGAATTGGTTTCTGGATGTATAAATTAAACCGTACTGCAGGCTCTATAAAAAACAAATAGTATTCAGAAAGAATAACGTGTTACATCCTGGGGAAGACCTATAAAACTGTAGAATAGGAAGACGACCGTTAGACTCAAGTTATGACTTTAGATAGACCAATGATCATGAAACACAACAATTGGGAAATATAAACAAACCAAATTCACTTATCAAGTTAATTTTCAACCTACTGGTGAAATTATTTGCTTTGTTACAACATCAAATACAAAAATGTTGGCTAATATTTCGTCTTCCTATTCCACATTTGTATGGGTCTCACTGTATCTACTTTAACTACTTTATCTAAAGACTAACCTCGCATGCTGTTCCATCCATTGGAGTTGAGTTAATACCGCACATCAGTTCAGATTCTCTAAACACTTTTTTATTAAAATCATGCATTTAATTCCCAGCACTTTTTTACCTCATAATACCAGAAAGAAACTTATTTAAAAAATTAAAATTGAAAAATCTGTGAAAGAAATTCTTGATAATGTCATTTTCATGTTTATTTTTTAAATTATATTTCTAGGAGAGTCATTATTTAATTTCTTTATAAAATAAAAAGTGCTCTGAACCATCTCAATATCTAGGTTTCTTGTGATTCTAGTTCATTTTTTATTTCATGAAAAAAGATTATTTTCTATTCATATTCGTATAATTGTAGGGTTTGTTAGCTTTTTACTACTATTTTGTGTTTATCAATGTTAGTTTGTGCAGTACAGTTAAAATCAATGTTAGTTTGTGCAGTACAGTTAAAATCAATGTTAGTTTGTGCAGTACAGTTAAAATTAATGTTAGTTTGTGCAGTACAGTTAAAATCAATGTTAGTTTGTGCAGTACAGTTAAAATCAATGTTAGTTTGTGCAGTACAGTTAAAATCAATGTTAGTTTGTGCAGTACAGTTAAAATCAATGTTAGTTTGTGCAGTACAGTTAAAATCAATGTTAGTTTGTGCAGTACAGTTAAAATCAATGTTAGTTTGTGCAGTACAGTTAAAATCAATGTTAGTTTGTGCAGTACAGTTAAAATCAATGTTAGTTTGTGCAGTACAGTTAAAATCAATGTTAGTTTGTGCAGTACAGTTAAAATCAATGTTAGTTTGTGCAGTACAGTTAAAATCAATGTTAGTTTGTGCAGTACAGTTAAAATCAATGTTAGTTTGTGCAGTACAGTTAAAATCAATGTTAGTTTGTGCAGTACAGTTAAAATCAATGTTAGTTTGTGCAGTACAGTTTAAATCAATGTTAATGTGTGCAGTACAGTTTAAATCAATGTTAATGTGTGCAGTACGGTTTAAATCAATGCTAGTTTGTGCAGTACGGTTTAATTCAATGTTAATTTGTGCAGTAAAGTTAAAATCAATGTTAGTTTGTGCAGTACGGTTTAAATCAATGTTGGTTTGTGCAGTACGGTTTAAATCAATGTTAGTTTGTGCAGTACAGTTTAAATCAATGTTAATGTGTGCAGTAGAGTTTAAATCAATACTAATGTGTGCAGTACGTTTTAAATCAATGTCAGTTTGTGCAGTACAGTTAAAATCAATTTTAATGTGTGCAGTACAGTTAAATCAATGTTAATGTGTGCAGTACAGTTTAAATCAATGTTAATGTGTGCAGTACGGTTTAAATCAATGCTAGTTTGTGCAGTACGGTTTAATTCAATTTTAATTTGTACAGTACGGTTTAAATCAATAATAATTTGTGCAATACGGTTTAACTTAATATTAATTTTGTGCAGTATGGTTTAAATCAATACTTAACGGTCCAGTACGGTTGAGATCAATATTATTTGTGCAGTACGGTTTAAATAAATGTTAATTTGTGCAGTACAGTTTAAATCAATGTTAATTTGTGCAGTACGGTTTAATTCAATGTTAATTTGTGCCGTACTGTTTAAATCAATGTTAGTTTGTGCAGTACGGTTTAAATCAATGTTTGTTTGTGCAGTACGGTTTAAATCAATGTTAGTTTGTGCAGTACAGTTTATTCAATGTTATTTTGTGCAGTACAGTTAAAATCATTTCTAATGTGTGCAGTACAGTTTAAATCAATTTTGATGTGTGCAGTACAGTTTAAATCAATGTTAATGTGTGCAGTACAGTTTAAATCAATGTTAATGTGTGCAGTACGGTTTAAATCAATGCTAGTTTGTGCAGTGCGGTTTAATTCAATGTTAGTTTGTGCAGTACAGTTAAAATCATTTCTAATGTGTGCAGTACAGTTTAAATCAATTTTGACGTGTGCAGTACAGTTTATATCAATGTTCATGTGTGCAGTACAGTTTAAATCAATGTTAATGTGTGCAGTACGGTTTAAATCAATGCTAGTTTGTGCAGTACGGTTTAATTCAATGTTAATTTGTACAGTACGGTTTAAATCAATAATAATTTGTGCAATACGGTTTAACTTAATATTAATTTTGTGCAGTACGGTTAAATCAATACTTAACGGTCCAGTACGGTTGAGATCAATATTATTTGTGCAGTACGGTTTAAATCAATGTTAATTTGTGCAGTACAGTTTAAATCAATGTTAATGTGTGCAGTACGGTTTAAATCAATGCTAGTTTGTGCAGTACGGTTTAAATCAATGTTAGTTTGTCCAGTACGGTTTAAATCAATATTAATTTATACGGTACAGTTTAAATCAACAAATATTTGTGCAGTACGGTTTAAATCAATATCAATTTGTATGATACGGTTTAAATAAAAAAATGTTGTGCAGTTCGGTTTAGATGAAAAGAGATGTCCACTTTTCCCTAAAAAGTTGGATGCTTTAATTTTATCATACACAAAATAATAAATATACATAAATAGCGAATGGTTGTCGTCTTTGATCTTTCTTTAAATTGTAAAGATACCGTAACAGATTTGTAATTTTTAACTGACAATGCACTCTACAGATGATAGAAAACGAATCTTTGTAAGAAAGTCGCAGGAAAAAAAGTTTCTGAAAAAAACCTAGAAATAAAAAACTTTGTTCAAAATTCTCAATTTTCTGAATTCCTAGGACAAAATGTTACTGGAAATAAAGTCCCAATTTTAAAATTCCTGGGACTTTTTTCCTAAAATAATGTCTCAGGAAATAAGATGACAGGAATTAAAGTCCTGAAGAAAAAAGTCCTAAGTCTTGGGAAAAGAAGGTGAAGTCTTAGACGTTTTCATAAAAAGGACTTTTCTCCTATGCATCTTCATATTTTTAATTTCAAGGGCCTTTTATCCATGATTGTAAACATATCTTGTTCCCATGCATTTTCTACTATAAAAGGACTTTTTTCCTGGGACGTTTTTGTAAAAAATGATACTGGAACCAGATAAAAAGTAAAAGAAGAAAGCCTTAAAATAGTAGAACTTTATTTCCAAAGACTTTATATTTTTACGACTTTTTTCTACAGGACTTTTGAAGTGCCAAAATTTAGGACTTTATTTCCAAAAACTTTATTTCAGAGAACCTTGGTTAATAAAAGATTGCGAGAATAAAAGTCAGCTAGTTCAAACGGGTTTAGAGCGCTTTATCGCAACCACTTAAAAGTTTCCGCTGAGGACATCATTGCAGATTATCGTTTTCCCCATGAAAAGTTCGTATTTGAGATTTGGTTCGGTTAGGACTGTTTTTAACTTGAGTTTTCTGACCTCTGAAGTCTGATATATCCATGTTCTCCCCAGTTTTTCCCCCACGAGTTCCGAACTAACCAATAATCTCCATGAGCATCATCACTACCATACCTAGAACAAGGTTTGTAAATAGACGTTTAGAATCTATTCATATATTTCTTTCTCAGTCTGTCCATTTGGGCCCAAATTTTGTGTGTGACCTTGCATGACCCCAATGAAGGTTTATGGATACTCAGGATTTCAAGAGATGTCTCCAAAAATATTTGATTTTTTAAAAGTTTTTAAAATCCACGCGAAAATATTATGAAATCTGTGAACTTTTTTTGTAAAGAGAAGATGCTCGCCGATTAAGCCACCGCAGTTAAAAGTTGAAATACAAAATTACTCGAAGCGCCCTTGAAGCCTAGTAATAAAAATTGTTTACGAACCTTCGCAATCAGGCTATTTTTTTATTAAATAGTAACACAGCTGGCGATCAAACTCTTTTTAAAAAAGTGAATTGAACAGTCCTCATATATGCACACTCTTATTTGCTAACCATTTTATCATTGCACTGATGTTGTAGCCCTTTGATTTTTTTCAACCTTTGATGACTTTGTTGAAGTTCAAATTATGAAAGGTTTACATGCACTAGGTTTAAAAGTTATATGGATTATAAACAGACAAACATAACCCACCCTACTAGTTGTACTGCATGGTTTAGAGCAATATTATCCTCGTAAGCACAAGATCCAAATACACCACTTCCGTAGAACTAAAAATAAACATTAAAGGGACTGTAGACGTAATGACCCTCTGTTTGTAGAGATGAGTTTCCGATTCACAAAAGTACCCTTTAAACCTTTGTCTGATCAAGGCTGTCGGAAGTATTCTTATCAATCTTCAGATTGTTGAACATTTTATTTGCAAGCAAGCTGTTTTATATTTAAAAATATTAATATTCACTTTCTTGATGTGACAGAAAAAAAATAATTACTTCGAATTTTTGAAGATCGTTTTTGACGTGAAATATTTAGTAATTTCAAGGGGCACAAGTGGACAATCAGCTGTGTAAAGGAATTCAATCGTATTTCGATATATTTACACACGGAGATCTCGATACTCAGTAACTGTTTAAAGGATACCGCTGTATATCGGGACTTGTCACTGGAAACTACGTTGACAGTCTCTAGTATAATATTTTTATCATGTCTTATTGTCTTAAATGTAAAAAAATCTTATTTATGTTTTAACACCAGGATTCTAAAATGTACAAAATGGATCAGCAGTATCTGTATTTACACATATTTACAAATTGCATGTGTTTGACCTGCCAAGCAGAAGCGTCTGCAGCCACAGCTAGAGGACCAACGTTGGCAACATGCTGGAGAGTAGCTTCAAGATCATTTGCAGGAATAGTATTGTATCCAGTTATACCAACAACAGGGGCTCGATTCTCAAGATCATATTTACATTTCCCTAGCAAATATAATTTTATCAGACTTTTTCTTTGTGATTTGTGCAGAATTATTTAAACGTATTATCAACATAAAGGTTGACTAAACTCTTTATTTTTAAATCTTCTTAAAAGAATTTAGACCTCTATCTATTTACTTTATAAATAAACTCTTTAAATCTCTCTAATAATAATGAATCTAAAACTCTGCAACTCTTACACTATCTCATATCTATCCAACCTTTTGTTTCTGAGTGAAAAGAAAGATATACCTTTAAACAATTTCTATTGATAATCTGGTAGCATGAATATTACAGGATAGACTCAATGCAAGAAAGGGTTGAGAACCCTTTTATACCCAAGCGCGCCTAGCCTAGCCTAGCATGCTTGTTCGGTACAAAAAGGTTCTTAACCAAAAAATGAAACATAAACAGAAATAAAAGTCGCTGCAAGGTTTCAAGTCTGAAAAACAAAGGTATCTTCCTCATTGTTTATCCGATTTAGGGTGAATCAGGCATGTATGATGTACTGAGATATAGATATTTGACAACTCTGAAAGTTAGTAAATAAATGTTACTGGGGTGAATCAGGTATGTATGATGTACTGAGATATAGATATTTGACAACTCTGAAAATTACTAAATAAATGTTAAAACCCTTGACTATAAAGTGCCGCAAAACCTTGGATTTTATCTCACTAATACTTATACTTTTCTATAGCCCTAGGCATTTACATTTAAAAAAAGGCAATGCACTTTTTTAGCTTAAGTTATAACGAGTTATTAGCAAAGTACTGCTCGATTTTTGGGTGAGGGCGTGCACATCTTGGTTTGCAGTGGATGTAACCCTTTAATCTGAGGGAAATCTTCCGCTTTCCCTATCTTGATGATCTATGCTGTAGAGAAATATATAGGTAAAAACTATGAAAATAATCCAAATTAATCTGAATAAAATTTATTTACCTGTGATGGTTGTTACTCCAGACCAGTAAGGGTATTCTTCAGCTGTTGTTAAACCAAACAGTTGAACATAATTGAAGGCTAGCTGAGGAATAGAACCTACACAACCACCCTTCCCTCCACAGTGCATAGAGTTAGGAGTACAAGATGTTATCTAGAAAATAAACTAATAAAATATTTTTTTTTTTAAAGATATCGTCAAAAATTATCTAAAATGAAATTAAACCTTAATTCAATGCACCGTCTGCATCGGATAAAATGAATTAAAATGTTCAAATAAAGTATTTAAAAATTCAAATAATCTTCAACTGTTATTGATCTTACAAAGTACATTTATGCAAACATTATTTATTTTTCCAGAAAATCCGCCAAAACAAAGTTGAAAATGTGCGAAGTTCACATAAAATGGAACCGTCTAGATTGAAACAACTGAAATCTCTCTTCAAACTTGAAAACGTTTACAAATCAATAACTTTTTTGTTTACAATACTAGGTAATAATTATATTAAATGGTGATTGAAAATATTTTGAACCTAATTAAAACATAATTTAGAAAATTTTCACTCTTGGATTGGAACAGGAAAACCTTTCTTTAACTCATGCTTCCTGGGTTTATTATCTCTGCGAACTGGTTGCCATGTTGTTTTTGTCTGTGTACTATTTACCTCTATAATATCAATTATTCTGAACGACAGTGCTTGGGATATGATGAGTGAAGGGTATATGCTAGAGCACAGGAATCAACACTATCTAGAAATGATAGTTGATGCTCTCAGTATATTCATGTCTCTTTGCTTCCTCTACTCGTATATTAAGAAGAAAGTGTATCTGGCCAAGCTTGTATTCTACTGGATCCTGGTGGCAGCTGTATTCCAGATTGCTTGGTTTATCATGGGACACAATACAGAGGGAGATCTCATCCTTCTACATTCAGCTACTGCTGCTCTTTACATATACCTGGATTGTATTGTTGTTTCTTTTATCCAGAGAGCAAGTATAGTCAGCAAGCTGTCTGATGAACACTTTGCTGTACTAGAGGAATGGGATGCCTGGGAGCTAGGAGAGTTTATGCATACAGACAAGAACCTTGATCTGCTCCAGGACCAGGAGGAGACTCTAGAGTACCAAGACGGGGTTCACCAGGACCAGGAAGGAGATGGAGAAAATAGATCTCGTGAAGGAAGGAAGGAAAATTTACAAAGTTTGTATGCAGAAAATAAACCCCAGAGTTCGGATTGGACAAAAAGTTTAGATTTCCAGAATATATCTTGGAACTTGCAGGAAACATACAGTGCTACTCGGGCTCAGGAACAATATAGACAGTATTGTAAACAGAAATATGGTTGCTAGACTCTGTAATTCATTAAATGTACTTGGTAAAGTATTTGACTTCCAAACATACTGTTAAATTCTAAAAATTATTGTTGAGCAATACACATTAAGATCAATTTAAAAAAAATCAAAATGTTTTCCTCCTTTCTTTCAGACGGCATTTAACAATGTAAAAATCAAATACAGTGAAAACCAGCAAACTCTGAAATCCGAAGACGACTATTAGACTCTATTTATAACTTAATAGTCAAATGAACATAAGGCACATCCATTGTGCAGTGTAAACAGACCCATTTAACTTATTTCAATTTTTTCAATGGTTTTTACTGTAGAAACGATAGAAAGTTCAATACGGCGATATGAACTTTACAAGAATAAATAACTGTAGCAATAGCAAGATATTAAAAAAAAATAATCATAAGAAGATAGTTCAGAAAAATATATAAAATTAAAAGATTGGATGCTGCGGAAATTATTAAGAAAATCAAAGAATTCAAATAAAATTATGGAAGCTTAAACTCAAAAGTTTTATTATTTTAAAACTATATTCAGAAGACGACCTCTAAATAGTTGATTTTACCTCTTGTGCGCTGAGTTCTTGAAGAGTAATATTGTTAATCGCTGCATAGGATTCGATCTGTTCCGTAGCAGCGAATGCCCAGCAGGAACCACAGCTGCCCTGTTTAATATATATTAAACTTATAAAAAAATAAATACACACACATTACCTAAATTTGATTAAGAATTCTGGAATCCAGTTAAACAAGTTAAACATGTAACTGAGACGCTTTTATTAAGGTAAAAATAGAATTGTGATAACATGGTAAAACATTTTAGTGTAATGTTACTTGATTCTTGGGTTCTGATACTACTCCGGCCTCTCTCCAGTCAACTTCGGCAGGAAGTTCACTGCTGTAGGATCTGGATTCTGGAAATACATTTTATATCAAGGAACCAAATTAAAACTGAATTAATTCCTGACAAGTTTAATATCATGGAAACCAAGTTTTGAGTACTAAATTAATTTCATTCAAGTTTAAAACCAATTTAACCAAGTTATGAATGCTAAAGGAATTTCTGAATCCTGACAAGTTTAATATCATGGAAACCAAGTTATGAGTGCTAAAGGAATTCATGACAAGTTTAATATCATGGAAACCAATTCATAGGTGTTGATTTTATTTTCTGAATCACAAAATTAAGTGATAAAAAATTATCCGTGGTTTACCTGAGATTGCTTGGCCTGACATAGGCAATCTCTTGTATCCACTGAGAGTGGATTTAAATTCATCTGAAGTAAGATCAGCAAACTCGTTTATCTAACCAATATAATTAAGCTTGTTTAACAACTATGAAACTACAGAGCTCCACGCAAAGAATGTGCTTTTAATGACAACATGAATCATTTTCAATGTGATGTTCTTGCTCATTGAATTTAGTCTTCTAAACTTTCTGGTTCAGCATCGAAAAAACAATTTCTGATAATATCATAGAATGGAAAGAAAAAAACTACTAAAAAATTCTGTTCAGTCGTCTCTGAAGTCTCTTTCTTTAAATGTCATAAAGTCATATAAACTTGAGCGGGTTCTTTTTAAAACGCTAGAATATTTTCCTTCCGCTTTATTTCCAAAATTATGGAATTCGATTGAATTAGAGCTTAAAGAAACTAAATCTGCAAAGCTGTTAACAAGAAAAATCTTCAAAAACTATTCAGATAGTTATGCAACTTATATTTGTAAAAAAAATAACTGCTTTTCATGTGGATAAACTTAGTCTTTGCTATCTTCTTCACCCTGTAATTTATAAACATGATTCTAAAATATATGTTACCCTCTGTTACAACCCTTCCGCTGAGTACCCACCCTTTCCCTTATACTTTTTTACCCCCTCCTTACCTTATTCATGATTTATCATCATTGTTTTGTTTAAAATGTACTCTGTACAGTGTACATCAATCTATTTATTTACAATTCTTATTCGCTTATAATGGGCCAACCAATCAAAACAACCAACTCTGGTTACCGCCTAACCGTCCAAACTACATAGAAAATTGTGATTTTTTATTTGTGCTTTGTAGTTGAATAAAATATGAAATGAAATACGAAGTAAAAAAGCTGAGTGAAGTTGAGCAATTAACATGGTTTTTTGAAGAAAAATCTACAATGAAAGAAGACATGGATCGGATGTATACCTAGGTACGTTTAAAGGGTGTCCCAATAAATATGTAAAATAAGAGAGGATTCTAAGATCGTCTTTACATATAATTTTCAATTTAGTGTGGTACTATAATTCGTAGATTATTTTATCTGTTAGAGCTTAAGATTAGTATGTTTATGTTTTGATAGCATACCGTTGTTCTTAGTAAACTAGAAAATCCTGTAAACAAACAAAGTAAAGTTTTCTCTCTTCACTTTTTATCTTGCAGAAATTTTATAAACACATCATACAACGTTTCCCCAGCCCTTTTCTGAAAATATACTACAGCAGACGTATCTTTATTATGGACATTACAGTGCAGTCATTTCTTATCAATGACGATTCCGAATTCTACACTGAATTCCCTCAACCATGTTTAATGGGTTGATTGCGGATTCTACACAGAGTTCCCCCAACCATGTTTACTGGGATCATTTCGAATTCTACACTGAATTCCCCCAACCATGTTTACTGGGATGATTGCGGATTCTACACTGAATTCCCCCAACCACATTTACTGGGATGATTTCGGATTCTACACTGAATTCTCCCAACAATAGTTTATTGGGATGATTTCGGATTCTACACTGAATTCTCCCAACCATAGTTTATTGGGATGATTTCGGATTCTACACTGAATTCCCCCAACCATAGTTTACTGGGATGATTGCGCGGATTCTACACTGAATTCCCCCAACCATATTTACTTGGATGATTTCGGATTTTACACTAAATTCTCACAACCATAGTTTATTGGGATGATTTCGGATTCTACACTGAATTTTCCCAACCATAGTTTATTGGGTTTATGGTTTTCCTTCATTAGAAATAAACTAACGACCTTCATTGACCAGGTTTTGTGTGGATTGCCATTATTCTCCTTGATCTTCTCCAGGTTCTCTAGGAACACAGAATACCTGGCAAAGAAAACAATTACTGATATTTTTTTTCCAGATTTTATATTTATATTTATATTTATATTTATATTTATATTTATATATATATTTATATTTATGTCTCACCTGTAATCCTCCTCCTCAGCTGTGTAGGTTTTTTTGAAGGTTTTCTTAAACTTAAAGAATTCATCTCTTGAACCCGCAACAAGTCCTAAACTCAATAAAAATAAAATTTTAAAAATTCATTTTCATGCCTGTCAGTGCACCTCATACTCAGCTTATGCAGCTCAGTAAACAGGATTCACCACAATGTATAAGACTTTAAAGACGACTTTATTTTTTCTCACATTAATGTAAACTTGTCAAATAATCTAGTATACTAAGAAAACTTTAAAAGGTGTCAGTTTTTCATAATCAGTGAGTTTTCTAGGTCGTCATTGTAAATCTTATCCCTTGTCTCAGGTAGTCATGTGTACAGGCACAGAAAATTAGTAAATAATAATCCTGACCTAATAATAGGAAGATGGCCAGACCCTTCATGTTTGATCAGTAACTGAATATTAAACATAACTTGGCAAACAAATATATTTGTTATCTTTAAAATGTTATTAAGACAACAAGATGTACTAAAAACACAAAAATTAGATTTATTTAATATCTTTCAAGTTGTTTTACTTACAGTTAAACCCTAAATGAGCCATACATCGAAAGAATTTATCAAATGTCGTCTTGACAATTTTTCAATGGGTTTTATACTATTTTACGTAAATCTCAGTATTTGCGAAAATAAATAAATAGCCTTGAATATGCGGGAACATTTTTAAAGAGTTCCATAATCCATATAATCATTTAATTAAAAAACTAAATATCTGCAACCATTCATTATCAGAAAGTGAAGAATACGACATTTGATGCATTCTTTCGATGTATGGCTTATTTAGGGTTTAACGGAATGTGATTCAGATTTCTAGAGAAGAAGAAAGTAGTCCAATAGTATAATCACGGTTAAAAGGATTGTTTAGATATTTGAATAATGTGAGGGGGTACCAAATACCAATTAATGAACAGAGGATTGTAGTTTGTGAGGTGAAATAATTAAATTATTTTGAAGCATTCGTATCTTCTGTATAAATAAAGCGGATTAAATGAATAACATTATAAACTGTGTAAAATTACATTAGTTCTGTCATAATTTAAACCATAGTTAGAAGTACTAGAATTATAATCTTCTATTCAGAAGTTGACATTTCTTACATTACCAAAATATGTTTAAATTTCTTCCTGTAAAATATTTAATTATTCATCACTAGTTATGCTTGAAAGGAATGTGAAGGAAAAATGAAAGGGGGTGTAGGCATTTTAGGAGTCGAGAGCCAGAAGAGTTCTATCTGATGTTCCTGTCTCGAGAAATTGATTTAACAAGGCTTCCTGACCTGCCTCGGATTTCTTATAAAATAAATTTTCAAATCAGAAATAAATCTAAGGGGGGCGAAATATGCTCAAAGCGCAAATTTTTGTTGCCCACCCTTAGGAGCTGCTAGGGGAGTGGAAAATTTTGAACTATTAATTCAAAACATTTGGCTTGACTTAAATACTTTTAAGGTACATACAGTACAATTACCTTACAAGCATTGCTTTATCTCTACTTCAAAAAAAACTAGCAGCAAAAAATAGCGAACTATTTTTTGTATGTTCTTCACTCTTGAGTTTCAGATTTTAAAAGTTCTGAGTTCTAGGGGGGGGGGGGCTAAGCACCCTCCTTTACAGCTCTAGGGGGGCAGTTTCCCCCCTGTGTACGACCTATCAAAATGGAACCCCCCAGATTGTCTACAGAGGGCCCACTGTGCAAATCGCGGCCCAGATTCAGGAAACGCGTCGGTAAATTCTAGAATTGTTCAGGTTCTATGAGTTCCTATTCACTACCGTAACCAAAACAAAGAATTCATTTAGTGAATCTCAATCTTATGTATTTAACAACTCGGAAGGCAAGAAAACAAGTTTCATAGAGATTTATATCAAACATTTATTGTCTGAAGTTATACATAGAATACACATTACAGAAACCCTACATCTTACATTTCAAGCTCTGGCAGTCAATATCAGTAATTCATTTTTTAACAATTCATTTTTAAATTTTTTACAATTAATAAAAGTACAAATATGACAAATTTTATACATTTTTACGAGAATTTAGAATTTCTTTTAGACATTAATATTCCGAAGGGGATAAACATAAACTACATATTAAACTAATATAGATATGTTTATACAAGAATAAAACAACAGTAAATATTATATTATGTAGGATACAGAAATATAGGGGGCGGAGGGGGTTATATCAAAATTTCTTTTTATTTTCATTTAAAGTTGAAAAGGTTCAATGAATGTTGAGAAACGTGTTGTTTATTAAATCAAATCTAAGAATGGAATGGGATAAACAGATTCAAACATGGAATTACTTGTGCCTAATAAAATCTCCAGGTACATTTTAGGAAGATAAAATAAAATCATGATCATTGAAAAATATTATTTCATCTAATATTAAAACATTTAACTTAATAAATATACGACCTTCAAAAGATTGTTTAAATTTGTCCAAAAACATGAAATATTACACTGAAAGCTGAAAGTAAAACTAATGTCAAACATGAAAAAAGAATACCTATCAAAAACATGAAATATTACAACAAAAGATGAAACTAAAACTAGTGTCTAACAGGAAGAAATAAGACGTATCAAAAACATGAAATATTAAACTGTAAGCTGAAACTAAAACTAGTGTCTAACATGAAAAGAAGACCTATCAAAAACAATTTTCATAATAAAATGCACTTATCATATCATATCATACAGCTAGGGATGCGTCCAACAGCTCCTTGGTAACCAAAATAAATAAAAATAGAGAAAAAGTCAGTACACGAAGATTAAGACTAACCAAGACTAGTTGGATTAGTCTGAAAATAAGATGGAACTGAACAAGTTTAGATAGGATAGTCTGAAAATAGCATGATAAGATGAAACTGAACAAGTTTAGATAGGATAGTCTGAGAATGGCATGATAAGATGAAACTGAACACTGTCTAGAATCCACTTCTCAGTTACAGAATGAACTGAATTGTCTCTACTCTCCTCCCCAACCACTACCTAGAATTAAAGTATCTGATTATTATATTTCAAGATAAAACAAATGCTTTATATCAAAATTAAAATATACGCTTTTGAGTCTTTGTTAGTGACACTCCTTAAAAGTTCACATAAAACCTTAATTCTTGAATAAGGACAAAACTTGAAAAAAAATTTCCACCCAAAGTTTTCCGCAAGGGCCAAATAAATCGTACATTTTCATTATAAATATTCTCGTATATTGGACTTGGACACTTATCAGTCAAATATTGAAACTAACGGTGTTTTATCTAAATAATCATAAATTCTTGTTTAATGTTTTCTGATTTCTAAATCTGCACCTTGAGGATGTATTAATTGTACCTTGACATAAAACGTGGGGGATATCATGAGATATTTAAAAAGATGAAGAATCCCTTTCATCAAAGGGATCAGTTAACCCCTAATATTATACCTGAGCAAGTCTAGCCTGCTGAGATACAAGTCCTCCTCCAGATTGTATCAATTGTTTGAGTTCGTCTCTAGGCGCTCTAAACCAACAATTAAATAAGAAACATAGAAATCTGATTTGTGACTTGCATTAAAAAATTCCATATAAGTAAAAAATCTGTCAACCATTGTTTTAAGATTTTGAAAAGTAAGACTATCTTTGTCTAAATGAGACTGTCGACATAATTTAAAATTACCATCCCCCACCATCCCCTACCCTATATTTAAGAGTGCTTGTGCCCTTTTTAAAAACGTATTCTCAAAACCTTAGTCTGAGCAACAATGATAAGGTCAACCTTGTTCTTAATTAAAAGATTGTACCACAGTTTCAAGTGAGAATTCGCACAGCGGAGACAAGGAAAAAAATGACAGAATTAATTTTATTTTAAGAGGAGAAATTAAGATTTCTTTCTTTTTGGTAATAAGATAATGGTGTAATAGTCGTCTTTAAATGTAGTAAGTGTACTGCAAAGGATTTACATATATTGAATTAGAATAAAAACATTTTGACGCAACATCAATCTGCAAAGCAAAGTATTGCTAGAAATGTTATAAATGTTTGTCCTCTCTAGAAACTAGAGGTTCGGAGGATACAGATAAAAACATTATATTAGCCTCTAACGGAAAATAAATCTGTTAAGGACGGATCTAGAGATAAATTATCTACCTGCAATCTACAGATATATAAATAGTTCCAATCTCCTTGAACAGTTCAGATTTAAACATTCCACCCCAGGTACTCCTCTCTAGTCTGCACAAATCATAAAGTTAATAAACTCAATCTATATTTTTCAAACCTAGTAGTACAATAATTAGCTGAGATGTACAATACATTGTACAAATATATATTACTCAGGGTTTTCTACATCATATTGGAGTTGGACTGAGCATTATTTGTAAATCAAGATTTTTGGAGGAGTATTTTAATTTCTATACTATATTTCATCATAATTCAAGGTTCACGGTGAACTAAGAGTCAGAGCTCCATATAGGATTTAAGTATCCTGAGGCAGAATTGAAAAAAATTTCAGCCGCTGCTCAAATGTGGGTCGTTCCACTTAAAATTGAATTAAATTTCTGAAGATTTAAGCCGGCGTTCAATTGAAACAAGTTTTTGGGGATTTGAGACGCGGCTAAAATTCATTAAATTAGGACACTGCATTTGTAAACTGCCCTTCTCCCTAGTTTCGAGTCGGGTAAATACGTTATTTTTAGGTAAACAAGAGTATCATAGGATGAAAAATCTTGCCTTTTAATGCCCCAATTTTTCATTTTTCATCAAAAATCAACCACTCAAATACCAACCAAATACAGATATAGGTTGGAATAGGTATAAAATGTAATGATAAGAGAATGAAAGATTAAACTAAGAGCATCCACTGATCCTCCTTTGTGTAAATACAGGGTTCATTAGTTAGATTGAAATATATATCTTATATATATTGAGGAGCAGAATGATTCTACAGTCTTCACGTTGATAATGGTAGAGAATAGATTAAAAACCTGTACAAATCTATTCATATAAACATATGTTTCAAAATAATATAAATACAACACAAAAAAGATGAAATTAAATAAAGTTTATTGTATTTTTTCTAAATATTAAAATTGCAACATGTATACTGCAAGTTGAAAACGTTATTGAAGTGTACAGTGCACGAAGATGGAAATAAAAAAAAATATCGGACATCAAGAAAATATAGCATATGAAGATAATTTGATCTTTTGCTAATTTATAAGAAAAAAAATCATGTTGAACGCATGCATTTTTATTTTTCAGAAAATACTTTTAATATTCTTGCTGATTGTTCATTAATTATTTAGTTTCTTCACATCATCATTCATACAACAAACAGGTTAAATACATTTTAGACAATTTTAGGACACCCAATTTTAAACGGGATCAAGACCTTAAACTGTCTTGTACTCCAATATCTATCTATCTATCTATCCCTTTCGGTCTCGTAGATAAATTTTTAAGATTAAAGACGAAGAAAATGTAAATGGCACACTGAGTGAAATTGCAACGGTAGTTTCAACTACCTAAAAGTACCTCACCCCCTTTCAAAACTAAATTTAAAAGTATAAATCGTACTTACTAATGGAATGTAAAGGCCAAAGGGTATCAAAGTAAAAAAAGTATCAAAAGACATAAAAAATTCTAAACAGGTACTTTATTTCTTTGCTAGATTGAGAATGAATGCAATAAATAAATATTTTGGAATATATTTATTATATTATATTATATTAAAATGATACCTGAGATTTCTGACAGCTGGTGAAAAATCCACCATTTCATAAGGTTCCTCGTCTACCCAGTGCTCTGCTTCAAGGCTAGACAGAACCCATTCCTGAACAATACTCATTAACCCACTATTTAGTTGTACAAAACATACTCATTAACAAACATTCAGTTATACAAAACACTCAAAAATATTCAGTTGTAAAAACATACTCCTAAACAGTCGTACAAAACTTTCTTCAACCTGGAAATATCTATGTATGTAGTTATTGTAGATTAAGTCTAACTCTATACATTAACGACATAAGTAAAAATGTAATTTCAGCTCTTTGTTATTATCTGTATTTATCAATTTAAAGTAGAAATATATGTTTGTTTGTTTCTCATAACACAGGAAAACCGTTTGACCAATTTGCCTCAAATTTTAAATATGGAACTTAGTAAGACCACGCGATATTCTTGGTTATGTTTAAAATTCATAAATTGTGGGTTGACTTCTAAAGAGAAAGTTCAGTTAGCAGACAGCACTGGGTTTACAAGATAGTCATGTAATATTTATTTAGCCATTGCCCTTTAGATACATAATTCAATTCATAAAATACATGCATTATACATTTTTGTTTGCTAATCAAAATATTGATAAGTTCCATTAGTTGAATTCTTGCATCACTCCTACCTTAGTTACTATCCAGCAGCCTTGAAGTAGACCCTTGAGTAGGTTCAGGGTTCGTTTCCCTTCTCCGCTCACTACATGACTAGTTCGACTATTTACGCTCGTAGAGAACGTGAACCTAGAAATTATCGGTCAGTAGATTCAATAATTTACTGAGCACTTGTAGTAGTTCTGTAGGTTATCAAACACATTCCAATTTGACCGTTTTCCAGAGATTAAAAAGTAAAAAGTATTTTTCAGAAGTACTAGACAAACTAATCTCAATAGTCCACACTCCACATGTCTAACCCTTGGAGGAATTGAAAGGTTGCCATTAGGAAATATTATTTTTGTACCAACAAAAAAAAAACTTTTTATAACTGTTTAATAAAATAAATCATTTTGAAGATGAATGAATGTAATTGTGTACAATTCAAAAAATAATTTTTCTCTAAAAACAGAATGAGAGAAAGTGATTACCTGCCGTAAGATTTAACAAGTTGGTTGACTAAGCTGATATCATCCTGACTACAGGACGTACATACAATATTCTTGGAGGGAACAGTCCCTTTTCTTCTAAACAACAACAAAGTTGTTAAAATGTTAATCCTGTCTCTATTTAAAATAGGAAGTTGCTTGATTCAAAACGGTACCCATTTGAACTTAACCTGATCAACAAAGTGGAAGATATCATATCATATTTTTTTCGTGTAAAAACCAAAAATGATTGTGGGGCAGCGAAGCAGAAATTTTTTTTTGACCTGAAAAACTCAAAAAGGGACAACATTTTTTAAATAACATAATTTCAGAAAGCAGTCAATTTTTTTTTTTAATTTGAAGACAAGTAATTCTTTACACAAAAATAGATTTTATACCATTTTGCGTTTCCAATTCTTTTCAGTTGTTAATTTTTTGTTGTTGTCTCAGATAGTGTGCCCCCCCCCCCCCAGAAATTCTAAAAATACAAACACAAAATTCTGAAAATAGAAAGCTCACCCCTTACAATATTGTTCCTATCTAACTTGCATTTGCATAGTAATGTTCCATACGCATTAATCAAAATTAATAAGCAAATTGGGAACATTTTGCCTCAAAATCTCAAGGGGGAGGGGGGCGAAGGTACCCCCCCTTGTATCCGCCTTTGGAAACTACGATTGAAAATTATCGTCAACATGGATAACCCATTCATTCTTGATCAGACATATTATTGTGAATCTAACAAACCACTCTATAGATGGAGACAGAGAGCCACTTAAATACGTCTAAAGTTCATTTGAAGTCCAAACTATGAGTTCAGAATATTTAAATATTAATTCATCCTTAACAGTTTTGCTATATTAACCTGTATCTGGAGGTAGTTAGTTCATTAATTGAATCTTTCATCTTCTTCTCCTCCATTTTCTGAATAAATCGCGGCAAAGGAGCAAAATCCATTGAAGACCTGCGCGCCAGTGTTGCCTTGCGCTTCCTACCACGCGAGGTCGATTGATCAGATTTATTGCTAGATTCTGATTGGTTGGACGACATGCTGTCAGCTTCTGATTGGTCGGATTCCTCTGTGGATTTATATATTGTTGCTTTCTTGCTCTTTGGTTTCTTGAATAAATCCTTGGAGCCTTAACGAAACAATTAAGATGAACTGTATATATAAAACAATACAAAATGCAAAATGGTTAAAATCTATATCAATATGTTTACCTCTCGTCTTCACTTCTTTTGAAGGTTTTGATTTGATGACAGTTTTAGTTTTAACATTGCTGAACTGAACATTCTCAACTTGTTTCAGATTGATATCCGGACTATTCCGTGCCGTCTCATCCAGTAGGTTCTGAGAATATAGTTTATGTTTCTTAGCCGTCCTTGACTCCTTCTTGTCGGTAACAAGATTCTCCGTTGATTCCGAGTCTTTAGCTGGAGGTTTAGAGAATACTCTGGAGAGAACAGCATTTTTAGCAGGTTTCTTGGGCTCTTCAGGCAAGGAATTCATAATTGTTGTCTTATTTTTTCCTTGAACTGATGACGACTCAGCTGGTAGAGATGGATTTTCTTTTCTTATAGGGGGAGGCTCAGATCGTTGCAGTGAAGATTCACTCCGCCATGGCGAGCCTTCAGTCTGTCGAGGCGAGCCTTCACTCCGCCATGACGAGGACTTGACACACAATGGCGAAGTTTCGCCGTGTCGTTTTGAAAGTGAATCACTTAGCTGAGATTTAAATGATGAACTGTCATGTGCCAACGGAGATTTATCATTTCGTTTAGGAGACTGGGACTAAAACAAGATATTTCTCTTTCTTTTCAAAGTAATATATCAATAATAAATCAAATAAATTAAAAAATATATACATAAAATATCAAAATAATATACTTAAAGACAAAGTAATAATAATAAAAATTATGCGTTTCTATGGAGACATTAAGTTCAAGTTGATCTTTTTTATGTCATGGAATACAGAAAATGTAAAGCAAATATTTTTTTAAAAATAATCACAGTGATAAGAAAAGTTAAAAGTTTTGATCATAAAAATAATGCAAATTGAATAATGTTAGAGCATGTACCTAACACAGGCACAGTGGTTAGTTAATAAAGAGTACATAGACCTACCTGATGTTTTCCAGCCGACCTTGAATCTTCAAGTTTACGTTTAGGAGCAACTAGAAACATCTTGTGGTTAGTTGGTCGACCAAACTTTGTTGCACGGTTCTCAGAGACAGGAGTCTAAACATATGTTTTCTTTGATCTAATTCTAAAGAAGACATTACTTTAAAATTGTTTAATTCATCCATTTAATGAAAAAAATTACCCTATATTTTCTTTTCGAAGGCGAAACTTCCGAAGCACCAATGTCATCTGGAAATCCTAGAAAAAAGTTATAATCTTAAGATTTCCGCCTGAAAAGAGTTCTATCTTAAAATTTCTGTTGGTAAAATAAATACCTTCAAACTCGTAAATATCCTGATTTGATGAATCTCGATCAACTGGAGCCGGTGTATCCTGTTCCTGGTTTCTCCAGGGAGCTACTATTCTGGATCTTGGAGATACAACTGGCTCAGTACTTTCAGGACCTTTCTTAGGAACCTTTTCAAGGCTTGAAGAGGGTTTGGGAGCATTGCTAGTAATATTATCATCATGAACATCTTTCGTAACACAGACTCGGCTTGATTCTTGTAATTGTGGCGATGAAAAATTATTTATTGCTGGAGCAGGGGATCTGATCTGATGGGTTGGTGAAGGAAATGAATGCTCGGCACTACTGGGGCTCCGTACAGAAGAATGGAGGAGAGCTGCAGGGATCTGTTTGGAATTACTGGACATAGATTTTAGGTAAGCTGATTTATTTTTCTCTCTAATTTTACTGTCTTCTTGAGTTTTCTTTACAAGACTTTGAGACAACACAAACTTCTTCCTTGGGGGACTTCCAGATGACTTTCTTCCACTTTGATTAGAGGTTAATAGAGCGTCGAAAAGTCTATCATTTTCAAGTTCTCCGGGCGTTTTAGGTTTTGTGGGAGAAGAAGAAACAGATTTTATGGGAGATAAGGTTGAAGTGTCTTTTGGAACAAGGGGTATTTTTGTCGAGGCTGGCTTATCATCAGGTCTTTCATTAAGATTGATTGCAGATTCTTTCAATAGCTTAGAAGCTGATTTTTGGAAGGGTTTTGAGAGTTTTTCCTTAGTTTGCTTAGAGGCTGAGGCTTTTGAGGTTTTAGAAGCCGCAGCCGTAAGAGTCATAGGATCTTTATCTCCTGCATTGGAAATAGAATTTCCCGCCACAACGGATAATCTTGTGGATTCTAGATTAGGGGCCCCTAGTTTAGTATTTTCTTCAAGCTCTAGGGTCATATTTAAACGTTTCCGTCCAACCTTTAACCTTCTTTTTCCTGCTTCTGTAACAGTTGGCTGAACGCCAGAACTTAATGCATTCTTACCACCAGTTCCAGATACAGATATTTGTTTGGAGGAAATGTCATCTGTCAGTTTGCTGGAAGTTTCACGATCAACAGAAGTTGACTCTCTCAATGGACTTTGTTGTATAGCAAGCACATTTGAAGCTTTAGTGCATATTTGTGTGGATTGACGGTTGGATCTACGTTTAATAGTTTGATCAGCAGTATCTGAGGAGGGGAATAATTGATCTTGGCTCATGATTGGGGATGCAAGGAGAGTAGAATCAGAGAGCTGGTGGAACCTTCTGGGTTTACCTAGGATATTGAATACTAGATTAATTACCTGATATTACTAAACAAGGTGTTCAGAGTTTGATATTTACCTGTAGTATCAAGAGAACTACTTTGGGTTACATTCTGAGAACCTCTGACTGTGGTTGTATCTTTATCTCCTGTTCTTGTCCGTGAATCTGTATCTCCTGTTCTTAAAGGTGTATCAGCACTGCTGTTCAAACATGAGTCACTGTTTAGTCTCGCCAATGCTTTATTTCTAAAGGCAAAAGATTTAAACAATGAAGAATACACAATTCCCGTGTCCCATTTTTATTAAGAATACATACATAAAATCCGAAGCTAATTACTTACTTTTTATATCTATGAATAAGCCTATCTGCCAAAGACAAATCTAACTCATCTTCATCTTCCCAAATAGGAGTAGAGGGTGCCTAAATATTTCACATTCCTTAATGCAATACATTTCACAATTAATGAATAGAAATTTTGAAAACCGAGGTCAACTGTGCTTTAAATCTGTTCATTACCAGAAGTTATGGACCTTGGTGGAATTAAAAACGCAATTTGTTTCCGAGGAATATATCACCTGGAAGAACTCCTTTCTGAAGGGTGAACCTGAAGGAGATTTAATCTCGTTCAGAATCTTCAAAAGTTTATCCTCCTCCTTCTTCTCAACTACATACGGACTACCCTCGTAGTACAGAGGATGGATGGGTTTAGATTTAAATAGAGCTTTCTTTCTCTCATCCTCCTTTTTCTTCTTTCGTTCCTTAGCTCTCTCCTCTTTCTTCTTCTTCTCCTGGAACAGGTTCCAACCCTCCTCCACGGACCGGATATGGATGGATTTCAGTTTTCGTAAACTTGGAAACTTACCCTGGTCGTAGGGTTCACAGCAGGGAGAAGGAAACCTGAACAAATATAACCTTAGGCAGATAAAGAGAGGGCGAAACTTTTGGATATCGGGCTAAGCTTACACAAGATGCCTAAATTTGATGAGAAGAGACCTTAAACTATTTCTTTAATCCATATAAAACTCTAGGTTAATTCATCTTGCAGCAGTTTCACTGCTTCTAAGGAAGTAGATTATATTTTCAACACAAAATATATTCTTTTCTTGACCTTATTTCATGGTTTGACATGATGAAGAAATATGAATAAAAACATGATCCAATTTAAGGATAACTTAAATAAAAACATATATCCATGAATAAGAGTCTAACTATCTTATCTCCCCCCCCCCTCATAATGTTCTCTAATGTTATTTCTTTTATGTCTTGAAAATAGAAAACACAGTTTTAAATTCTATTAAAATATCACAATTTCAATTGACAAATATGAACAGTTTTTCACAAAAACGCCATGATTATATTATATGAGCCAAGTTATTATAAAGAGGAATTAACAAACCTAGCTGTAGAAACCAGTTTACCCTCATTAATACATTCAAATACCCAAAGTATAGATAGGATCGGCAGATTCAACTTTTTAGCCTAAACAGAAAAGATATAAATCTAGATTCTAGCTTGATCCATAGCTATATATATCATGAGTAAATTATTATCATTACCAATATTTATATTATGGGTAAATTATTATTATTACCAATATTTATATTATGAGTAAATTATTACCAAATTATAACATGAGTAAATTGCTCCACCTACCTTTAGATAATTCAATTTAGTTCCTCCATGGAAAAAACCATGATTAACTTATTACCAATATCACCTACCTTTAGATAGTTGGATTTAGTTCCTCCATGAAAAATAACATGAGTAACTTATTACCAATATCACCTACCTTTAGATAGTTGGATTTAGTTCCTCCATGAAAAATAACATGAGTAACTTATTACCAATATCACCTACCTTTAGATAGTTGGATTTAGTTCCTCCATGAAAAATAACATGAGTAACTTATTACCAATATCACCTACCTTTAGATAGTTGGATTTAGTTCCTCCATGAAAAATAACATGAGTAACTTATTACCAATATCACCTACCT